CCCCCCAGTGTTGGTGACTCACTCCTGTGTATACACCGACTACATCAATAATTACGACGGACCGCTCAACTACACTGTTCCCGACAACTGGTACCTCCGAGGTGTCCTCAGCGTGCACTCCAACAGACACGAGTAAGTTTTCTGTTCATCTCTTCTTTTGTTCTTTTATTTTATGTTATCTCTATATGTTATATTCGTGAAAGTTCGTCACTTTGGCTGCCTAAAACTTCCGAACCACATATCTTTCGAATTTGGAAAAAAATAACAGTTGTTCAAAATTATTTAAAGGTTGCACAGTTTTATTGAGGAGTCTGAAGTCACTGTCGTTTAATTTTCAGTTCTTCATTAGTTTCGTTTAGATCTGATCTTGGGAAAGTCCGTCTTCTGAGACGCCATTGTGAACAAGTGAGGCTTCCGTTCACAAACTGTGCGCACTGTTTCCACTATGACTTGATAATCGTTTCCACTATGACTTGATGATCGACGATTATTTTAAGCACGTTCATTCATCGTGTACCCACCTAGTAATGATATAAACAGGAAACGACAAATGCAGTTTTTGGGACACCTGAATAGACATAAAGGTCTTGAACATCTAACTCTCACTGGCAAAATTGAAGGCAAACGAGGCAGGGATAGGCCCAGAGTAACCTACCTAGGAAACCTAAACAAATGGGTAACAGGGAAAGATCAGGGAAACGTAGCCTTTTTAAGAGCATCGGAGCAAAGGAATGAATGGAGAACCATGATCGCAAATGTCTCTCGCAGATCTGGCCCTGGATGATGATGATGATGATAATATGATCTTTATATCACATTTATTTAGCTATGCAGTACAATTCAAAGCATCACTTTGATTTACATGATTATGAGAAGTGTTTCGATATGGTTTGTTTGCTGTTGTTTTTTTCGTAGTGGAAATATTTTCTAATGCTTCTATTTTTCATAGTAAGTGTAAATAAGATAATATAATTTTTATTGATGTGTGCCGGACCAGAATTATTTTACTGCCAAAATTGACATAATCTAGGTCATCCAGGAAACGGGGTTGACAAAAGAGAAAAGGTACTTTGCAAAACAAAACAAAAGTTTAAGTTAAATGAGACAAGTCATTTGCGAAAGCCCCCCCCCCCTTTCCCCTCACTTTCTCTTTTCCCAGTTATTGAAATGTAGTACCCTTATAATAATTATTTCATACCGACATTTTTCACTTCACATCCTGCCTATACTGTATTCTTAACATAAAATGTATTCCCATAACAACAACAACAACAATAATAATAATAATAATAATAATAATAATAATAATAATAATAATAATAATAATAATAATAATAATAATAATAATAATAATAATAATAACAACAATAGATAACATTTGTATACCGCAAATCCCCGCTCAACAGCAAGCTCTACTCTATGCGCTTCACAATCTATACTATTACCCCAGCTGACCTGATCAGAGCATTTTGAAACAAACTCAACTTCCTGGGAAGCATGCAGTGAAAGCAGGCGATTATAGGCGCTAAAACACTAACATAGTGACTAGATCTTTCGCTGTCTGTGGCCGGGTACCCAATTAAACCTGGGTGAAGTGAGGAAAATTCGTGTAAAGTGCCTTTCCCAAGGACACAGCGTCGGCTCGCAGCTCGAACCCCCGAACCCGCAACCTCACAACTACGAGTCCAGTAACCTAACCACTAGGTTTCCCACGCCACACTGTATTCCCATCCAACGAAAGAAATTAATTGTAGTAGTAGTAGTATAGGGTTTTACGGCGCTTGCAACTGCTACGGTCATATGAGCGCGCGAAATTAATTGTAATGGTGGTATAAAGGGACATCTGAATAATAAGACTCAGATGAATAGAAAATTACAGATTTTTAGTTTTACCTATGTCGGTTTTTTGTTGTTGTTTTTTTTCAGGGACAGAATCTTCCGCTTTGACATCTGCAAGCTAGACATGCTTGCCTCTCCTGGGGAAGTTCCCATCGTTGGTTGAAGATGTCAGCATAGAAGGAAATAACACGAGGAATATGTGAGGCAACACGATGAAATCAGGTGCTCGTCAAAACAATGAAATCAAAGAAAACGGCCGGCACTTATATGACCTTATTGTGTTGCAAGTGCCGTAAAACCTCTGCTAAAACTAAAAGGAAAACGGCATTTTTCTGAGTTGTGCAAATTTTTCGAATTTTCTTCTTTTTTTCGTGCTCAACAGCTTCTTATGTCCTATTAAAAACACATTTCTTCATGGATGTTACCGAAGAACGTTCATTAAAGGTTTAAAAAATTGTGAATTTTATGTTTTACAGGATACTTAAGCTATGGAAATCACCGAACTTTAGCGGCCACTTTGTCACTAACTTCACCTCTCATACCAGGCAACCCCACCTTCTTCAATCGCAAATATCTCGACTTCTATTCAAGACAGATTGGTATTTTTTCACCAAATTCAGTACAAACGAATATATTTTAAGATGATATTAATAACTCGAATATGCCCAAAACTTGACGAGCGCCTGATTACCCCGAGTCGTGTCACATATACTCTCTTCCTTACAGTGATGCCAGCTTGTGACCGGCCAGACAATAAATAAAAACCACACACACACACACACACACACACACACACACACACACACAGACACGCACACACATACTCACATATAATACACACATACACATGCGTGCACGCATACACAGTTAAACACACACACACACACAGATACACACACATATCATACACACATACACATGTGGGCACACACACACACACGCAAACACACTCACACAAACCCAGATACATAAACACAAAGAACCGACAATGACATAATTTTATGCTTTTGCTCAAATGAAAATATTATGATCGTAACTGTCATAATGCAATGAATAAATATTATTAGTTAACACGGGATTTGATTGCGCTTTTCTTTGAAAAAAAAGTGAAGTTTACAGTTTCTCTTTCTTTCTTTACCGTTGTTGTCTTGTATTTGTAGACTTCTTTTTAGTAGTTGTTTTGTTTGATTGTGCTGCTAGTAGTGGTGGTGATGGTGATGGTGGGTGATGGTGATGGTGGGTGATGGTGATGGTGGGTGATGGTGATGGTGGGTGATGATGATAGTGGGTGATGGTGATGGTGGGTGATGGTGGGTGATGGTGATGGTGGTGGTGATGG